TGAGGAAATTATGACAGTGGAAGAAATCAGACCTAAGCGACTCCATCTTGCTTCTAACCTTTAAGTGCTCCTTGTTCAGGAACTAACTTTGGGAAGAAATTCAGTTCATGGTTTGACTCTGAAACAATTGATAATAGCCCCTTCTTGAAAAGACCCCCTTCTTGCCTGGGGACCAGTCTGCCTTTAAAGGACTAACAAATTAGCTACAAGATTAGAAATTACAGTTTAGGGGTCATCAGCCTCTGGCTCCAAGAGTCTCAATGTCCCCAAATTGCTCCTAGGAACAACATCACTATTATAAAAAGATCAGTGTTTGAGATATTTTGCAGACCCTGCACTCTTTGGATCAGCTGGATCAGTTGGATCTGGCTCAACCATCCCACTCAAAAACAGAAAACAGCAAGAAAACCTCACTTCCACCCCCTATGATTCCATCTTCGACCTGACCAGTCAGCAGTCCCCACTTCCCAAGCTCCCACCTGCAAAATTATCTTTCAGAATTCTGATCTTTGAATGCTCAGGGAGATTAATTTGAGTAATAAAATTTTGGTCTCCCACACAGCCAGCTTTATGTGAATTACTCCATTACAATTCTCCTGTCTTGATAAAGTGGCTCTGTCTAGGCAGAAGGCAAGGTGAACCCATTGGGCGCTTGCGCTGTGTGCCAAGCCATGTTCTTGGTTCTGGAAATACAGTAGTAAACAAAAGTGCTCTCATTATTCACAGTAAAAATCAGTTATTCTGAGGCACAGAGTGGTTTATTCATTGAAAAATTCGCACTTTAGGTTGTGCTGGAAACTATATATTAGGCATTGAGAATGCTTTACTAAGCAGGCAGGTGGTTCCTATCCTCTGTTGTTTTTGTTTGTTTGTTTGTTTGTTTGTTTTGAAATGGAGTCTCACTGTCACCCAGGCTGGAGTGCAATGGCATGGTCTCAGCTCACTGCAACCTCCGCCTCCCAAGTTCAAGTGATTCTCTTGCCTCAGCCTCCCGAGTAGCTGAGACTATGTGCACATGCCATCATACCCAGCTAATTTTTGTATTTTTAGTAAAGACAGGGTTTCATTAAGTTGGCCAGGCTGGTCTTGAACTCCTGACCTCGTGATCCGCCTCCCACAGCCTTTCAAAGTGCTGGGATTACAGGCATGAGCCACTGTACCCAGCCTTGTTTTTTTGTTTTTTTGGTTTTTTTTTGAGATGGAGTTTTGCTGCTGTTACCCAGACGAGTGCAATGGCACGATCTCGGCTCACCGCAACCTCCGCCTCCTGGGTTCAAGCAATTCTCCTGCCTCAGCCTCCCGAGTAGCTGGGACTACAGGCGCACACCACAATTCCTAGCTAATTTTTATATTTTTAGTAGAGACGGGGTTTCACATTGTTGACCAGGATGGTCTCCATCTCTTGACCTCGTGATCCACCTGTCTCAGCCTCCCAAAGTGCTGGGATTATAGGCATGAGCCACCACATGTGGTCTGTTTTGTTTTTTTGAGGCGGAGTCTGGCTCTGTCGCCAGGCTGGAGTGCAGTGGCATGATCTTCCTCACTGCAACTTCCACCTCCTGGGTTCAAGTGATTCTCGTGCATCAGCCTCTCGAGTAGCTGGGATTACAGTCACGCATCACCACACCTAGCTACTTTTTGTATTTTTAGTAGAGACAGGGTTTCACCATGTTGGCCAGGATGGTCTCCATCTGACCTCGTGATCCGCCCACCTTGGCCTCCCAAAGTGCTGGGATTACAGGTGTGAGCCACCACACCTGGCCTGTTTTGTTTTTGAGATGGTTTTGCTTTCTTGCTCAGGCTAGGCTCAAGTAGTCCTCCTGCCTCAGCCTGCTGAATAGCTGGGACTAGAGGTGCCACCATATCTGGCTAATTTCTTGTAGAGATGAGTTTTCCCTACGTTGTCCAGGGTGGTCTCAAATTCCTCCCACCTTAACCTCCCAAATTGCTCGTATTACAGGTGTGAAGCCACCATACCTGACCTTTCCTCAGTTTATAGTCGAGATCAGTGGTTCTCAAAATGTGATCAGCTGTATCATCACCTGGAAACTTGCTAGAAATGCACATTTCAGACCCACTTTAGTTAGATTGAGTCAGAAATTCTGGAGGTGGGGCCCAGCAAGCTATGGTTTAAGGCCCTCCAGGTGATTCCACTGCCGATTGAATACCACCAGTCTAGATGAAAACTTTGCCAAATTCAGCTAACATATGTTGAGCATATGACCTAAACTGGGTCCTCTGCTAAACATTTTCACATGGTTTATCCCACTTGACTTATATCAATATAGGAAAGTAAATTTCCTCTGTCTTGCTTAAGGTTGCACCCCTAGGACAGGGCACAGTGGCTCATGCCTGTAATCCCAGCACTTTGGAAGACCTAGGCCAGTGGATTACCTGAGGTCAAGAGTTTGAGACCAGCCTGGCCAACATGGAGAAACCCAGCCTCTACTAAAAATAAAATTTTAGCCAGGCATGGTGGCACACACCTGTAATCCCAGCTACTCTGGAGACTGAGGCATGAGAATTGCTTGAACCCGGGAGGCGGAGGTTGTAGTGAGCTGAGATTGTGCCACTGCACTCTAGCCTGGGCAACAGAGCAGATTCTATTTAAAAAAAAGAAAAAACACCAGTGAGGCCCAGTGGCTCATGCCTGTAATCCTAGCACTTTGAGAGGCCAGGGTAGGTGGTCCATCTGAGGTCAGGAGTTTGAGACCAGCCTGGCCAACATGGTGAAACCCTGTCTCAATTAAAAACAGAAAAATAACCAGGTGTGGTGGCATGCACCTGTAGTCCCAGCTACTCAAAGGCTGAGGCAGGAGAATCGCCTGAACCTGGGAGGCAGAGGTTGCAGTGAGCCGAGATCACACCATTGCACTCCAGCCTGGGTGACAAAGTGAGACACTGTCTTAAAAAAAAAAAAAAAAAAAAAAAAAAGATTGCACCCCTACTAAGTTGTAGATCATAGATTCAGTTTCTTTCCCCTCCCCCCACTTTTTTTTTGAGACAGGGTCTCTGTCACCCAGACTGGAGTGCAGTGGCCTAATCGTGGCTCACTGCAACCTCCGCCTGCCAGGCTCAAGTGATCCTCCCCACTCAGCCTCCCTAGTAGCTGGGACTACAGGCATGTACCACAACGCTTAGCTAGCTAAGTTTTGTATTTTTTGTAGAGACAGGGTCTCACCATGTTACCGAGGCTGGTCTCAAACTCCTGAGCTCAAGTAATCTGCGCCCCCCGGCCTTCCAAAGCACTGGGATGGCCAGGCACAGCGCTCACGCCTATAATCCCAACACTTTGGGAGGCCGAGGCAGGAGAATCACAAGGTCAGGAATTTGAGACCAGCCTGGCTAGTATGGTAAAACCCCGTCTCTACTAAATATCCAAAAAAATTAGCCGGGCATGATGGCGCATGCCTGAAATTCCAGCTACTTGGGAGGCTAAGGCAGGAAAATTGCTTGAACCCAGGAGGCGGAGGTAGCAGTGAGTAGAGATTGTGACACTACATTCCACCCTGTGGGGCAGAGCAAGACTCTGTCTCAAAAAAAAAAAAAAAAAAATGCTGGGATTATAGGCATAAGCCAGCATGCCCAGACCATAATTCTTGGTTTTTCTTTTTTTGACAGAGTCTCACTCTTTTGTCCAGGCTGGAGTCCAGTGGACTCGCTGCAGCCTCTGCCTCCTGGGTTCAAGTGATTCTCCTGCCTCAGCCACCCTAGTAGTTGGGATTACAGCTGTGTGCCACCACACCCAGCTAATTTTGTATTTTTAGTAGAGACAGGGTCTCACCATGTTGGCTAGGCTGTTCTCAAACTCCTGGCCTCAAGTGATGGATCCTCCTCGGCCTCCCAAAATGTTGGGTTAACAGGCATGAGCCACCATACCCAGCCTGGGACCATAGTTTCTTGAGAATACAGACTAATGTGTTGCAATGTATTGGTTTCTACTCAGTGCACTCAACTTTGGTTACATATGAGAATCATCTGTGGTACTTTTTACTTTTATTTTTGAGACAGAGTTTCGCTCTTGTTGTCCAGGCTGGAGTGCAATGGTGTGATCTCAGCTCACTGCAACCTCCACCTCCTGGGTTCAAGTGATTCTCCTGCCTCAGCCTCCCAAGTAGCTGGGATTACAGGCATGTGCCACCATGTCTGGCTAACTTTTGTATTTTGAATAGAGATGGAGTTTCACCATGTTTGTCAAGCTGGTCTCAAACTCCTGACTTCAGGTGATCCACCTGCCTTGGGCTCACAAAGTTTTGAGATTACAGGCATGAACCATTGCACTCAGCCTTGTGATGCTTTTTAAAATGCCACTACCAGGTACCAGATCAATAAAATCAGTCCCTAAGGCTGAGGCCTGGGTGTGTGTGTCTGTGTGTAAAATTCATCGTATAATCATCTAATCCTATATCTTGTCTTATTTTAGGGACTTAGTAGCTGTAAAAGTTTCTAGGTGATTTTAATATGCACTGAGGGTTAATTGAAAGCCAGTGGTATACCACAGTGGCTGACATGTAGCTAACAATAAATGTTTGGATAGTGAATCAATAGATATTTAGATCCTTTTTTTTTTTTTTATCCAAAATGTGTTTATTAAGATAGTTTCCCACTCATCTTGATTCAGAGTGCTTTTAGTGCTGCTTCCTCCTGAAAGAACGTCCTTCTGTAAGCCTTGCTTTTCCTCCTGTAGGCTGGCAGAGGACAGTGGAGCAACCAACACACAAAACTACCGTTTGTGCATGGCTGAAGACCGTGGTGATTTTATAGCATCCTGGGCATTTCACATCCATGAAGTAGGAATTGGGGCTTTGCACCAGGCGTTTCTTGTGTTTCCTCTTCTCCTCTTCTGGAGATGGATGAAGGAGATCCTTTGCTAGAGGCATGTTCTCGTGCGTAGATCGTCACCGCCGGAAAAGCTAGATCCTTTTTTTACTGATGAGGCCAAGTGACTGCCCTGCCTGAGGTCACACAGCTAGTAAGTGATGGAAAAAGAACCTGAGTTCAGGCCTGGTGCAGTGGCTCACACCTGTAATTCCCACACTTTGGGAAGCCGAGGTGGGTCCATCACTTGAGGCCAGGAGTTCGATACCAGTCTGGCCAACATGGTGAAACCCTGTCTCTAAAAACTAAAAATACAAAATTATTGGGGCATGGTGGCAGGCACCTATAGTCTCAGCTACTTGGGAGGTTGAGACGGGACAATTGCTAGAACCCGGGAGGTGGAGGTTGCAGTGGTCTTGCATCATTGCACTCCAGCCTGGGCAACAAGAGTGAAACTCTGTCTAAAAAAAAAAAAAAAAAGCCAGGTTCAGTTTTGACCCAAAATCCCAAGTGTTTTCTTCTTTCTTTTTGGAGATCAGGTCTCCCTCTGTTGCCGCCAAGTGTTTTCTCCCCTCTGTCTTTCTCTCTCTCTTTCATTTGTTCTTTCTTTTCTTTTCCTTCCCTTCCTTCCTTCCTTTCTTTTTCTTCCTTTCTTTCTTTTTGAGACAGGGTCTCACTCTGTCACCCAGGTTAGAGTACAGTGGCAGGATCACGACTCACTATAGTTTCGATCTCCAGGGCTCAAGTGAGCCTCCCACCTCAGTCTCCCAAGTAGCTGGGACTACAGGAGCATGTCACCGGGCAGGCCTGGCTACATTTTTTTATATTTTTTGTAGAAACAGGGTCTCATCATGTTATCCAGGTCTTGAACTCCTGGGGTCAAGTGATTCACCTGCCTCAGCCTCCCAGAGTGCTGGGATTACAGGTGTGAGCTACTGCAGCCAGCCCAAGTGTTTCTAGGACATAGAGGCATATACCAAGGCAAACAGTATTTAGCATACACTGGGTGGGCAGCTATTTCATGAAACCCCGTAGCCTTTGATAATCACAGCTATAGCACCATATAATGTTATGCCTTGTAACAGAGACATTCTTGTAATGGAAACCTAGAGAAAGTAGAGGTTTTATTAACATGGGTTGGTATGTTTATACACACCTATCCATGTCCACCATTTCATGACCACATATGAATTGCAATAGGTAATTTTTTATAGTTTTCTTTTTTTTTTTATTTGAGACAGAGTTTCGCTCTTGTTACCCAGGCTGGAGTGCAATGGCGCGATCTCGGCTCACCGCAACCTCCGCCTCCTGGGTCCAGGCAATTCTCCTGCCTCAGCCTCCTGAGTAGCTGGGATTACAGGCACACGCCACGATGCCCAGCTAATTTTTGTATTTTCAGTAGAGACGGGGTTTCACCATGTTGACCAGGATGGTCTTGATCTCTTGACCTCGTGATCCACCCACCTTGGCCTCCCAAAGTGCTGGGATTACAGGCGTGAACCACTGCACCGGCTACATTTTTTAAAAAATATTTTTTAATGAAAAAACAAGAGAGACAGGGGTCTCACCATGTTGCCTGGGCTGGTCTTGAACTCCTGGACTCAAGCAATCCACCCACTTTGACCTCCCAAAGTGCTAGGATTACAGGCATGAGCCACCATACCTGGCCCTTCATTTTAATTAACAGATACACCCATATATCAAGGGTGTACTCTCTCCTGGGATCTTGGAGCAAGTCCAGCCATTCTTTGCCAGCTATGGAATTGAAGCCCCTGCTGCTGCCACTTTGAAAGGTCTTTGCAGGAAAGCAGTCGAGATTACTTCAGGAATTAGAGAAGGTTCAATTCCTGAAAGTTATACGTTAGTTATAGAGCCCAGAGAGTTTGTATTCTGAGTCCTGAATAAAAGGCCCACGCAGGAGAATGGGGAACATGGAGGGCAGAAGTTTGTACTATAATTAGCTCTAGGAGTAACACAGATAGGGGAGGGAGGGGAGTATAAGCAGCATCTATTTTGAGCACATCTCCGATTGACGGGACATGTGTGCTGGACTGTAATGATCCCAGGGCCAAATTGCCTCCCTGTGGTGTGTGTTGTTGGGGGGAGGCCTGGGGCAGCAGGAGCAGGACAGCCGGACACGAAGGCCGGACAGGGTACGAGCACCTCAACATCTCGCCCTGGGACACTGTTCAAACTCCGGGGGCCATAGGCCAAGCTGAGCGATGGGTGCTGAGGAGGAGGTGCTGGTCACACTATCAGGGGGAGCCCCCTGGGGCTTCCGACTTCAGGGGGGGGCCGAACAGAGGAAACCCTTACAGGTGTCCAAGGTAAGGGAGAGCCCCTGAAATGTGGCTTCAGGGAAAGGGAACCCAAGGGAACCTGGGAAGAGACTTGTGGTGGAATATGGCGGGGGTTGGGGGGAGTGGGAGGCTATGAAGATGGGGTGGGTAGTGGGCAGGGAAGTATGCTCAAGTCTCATAGTGGGAGTAGTGTCTGACTACAGGCTTCTTGTGGAGGTCTATTAGAAAAGAGAATTCGTGGTTTCCAGGGAGCACAGGAAAAAGAAAAGTTCTGTTTCAGTTCCCTGCAGCACTGTGGTATCAGAGGCCCAGCTCTGGTCATCCAGTGTTTGTTCTGCGTATGTGCCTCTACTCCAAACTCCAGAAATACGGGGAAGATTCTAATTTCTGACTGAACTGATATGTGATGAACTGAAACTGTCTTACTCAGCCCAACCCTACCCTGCCGCCCTGCCCTGCCCATGCCTTCAGTGTGCCCCTTTTCCTAGGTCAGCTCCTTTCTCTCACTAGGCAAGACATTTTTAGGTGCTAGGAGGGTTATGGCAAGATCTGGCCTCGCAGATGAAGTCATTACCCTTTTGGTTACACCCTACAGGCTTAGTTTTCCAAACTGTAAAATGTAAGTAATAATAGTACTTGTACTTCATGGAACCACTTCAAGGATTAAATGCAATAATACATGTAGCACAGTGCCCAGTACTTAGTAAGAATCCAATAAATGGTATCCACTACTACTATTACTTCAGTGTATATACATTTGTGCTACATATGGCACACATATACACAAATAATCACAGTCTCCCAGAATCCCACTGGACTCCCTCCAGTCTGGAATTCTGTTCTAAAATCTTCACTGTGTAATGGCACCTGGGGTTCCAAGGCCTAATAGAGAATTACTGGCCAATATAGATATTGCTCTTGGAGAAAAAGCTTGTGGAGATAATCTTTTCTTTCCTTTCCTCTTTCCCTTCCCTTCCCTTCCCTTCTTCCCTTCCCTTCCCTTCCCTTCCCTTCCCTTCCCTTCCCTTCCCTTCCCTTCCCTTCCCTTCCCTTCCCTTCCCTTCCCTTCCCTTCCCTTCCCTCCCCTCCCCTCCCCTCCCCTCCCCTCCCCTCTCCCCTCCCCTCCCCCTCCCCCCTCCCCTCTCCCCTCCCCTCCCCTCCCCCCTCCCCTCTCCCCTCCCCTTCCCTCTCCCCTCCCCTCCCCTCTCCCCTCCCCTCCCCCCTCCCCTCCCCTCTCCCCTCGCCTCCCCTCCCCCCTCCCCTCCCCTCCCCTCCCTTCCCTTCCTTTCCCTTTCCCTTCCCTTCCCTTTCCCTTCCCCTTCCCCTTCTCTTCACCTTCTCTTCTCCTTCCCCTTTCCCTCTCCCTTTCCCTTCCCTTTTTCCTATCTTTTCCTTTCTGTGTGACAGTCTTACTCTGTCACCCAGGCTGGAGTGCAGTGATAAGATCTTGGCTTGCTACAACCTCCATTTCCCAGTTCAAACGATTCTCCTGCCTCAGCCTCCCAAGTACCTGAGATTACAGGTGCATGCCATAATGCCTGGCTGATTTTTGTACTTTTAGTAGAGACAGTGTTTCATCATTTTGGCTAGGCTGGTCTCGAATTCCTGACCTCAAGTGATCCACCTGCCTAGGCCTCCCAAAGTGCTGGGATTATAGGTGTGACCCACTGTGCCCGACATACTAAAAAACCACTATTTTTAGTATCGACTCTATGCAGTTCTTCCCAAGCCTCTTTCATTCAGTGGTTACCCTATCTCCCACCATATGATGTATTTCTTCCTCCAATCTGTACTTTCTTCCCTCTAGATAGGCCACTTCAACTGCAGCCACTTCCATGCATCTTCCCACCCTTCTTACCCTGCAAAGTAAAATCCCCTGCTATGGGTCCTTCCTGCCTTTTCCTTTCATTCTATTCCCTTTGGAGCACTCTCTTACCTACAATCAACATCCTTCAAAATATCTTTCAACACCTCAGATTCGAAGACGGAGTCAGGCTGGCAGAGCAGGACTCCGAGAGAGGGACCAGATATTGGCAATCAATGGGATCTCTTGCACCAACCTCTCCCATGCCAGTGCCATGAGCCTCATCGATGCCTCTGGAAATCAGCTTGTCCTCACTGTGCAACGGTATGGACCTCCCTCCCCTTCTCATTCCCTAATCCCAGACTCCCATTGCCTGTCTCACTGGCCTGGCTTTAGAAACTAACAGGTACTTGTTTCTGCTCATGCATTTCTGCTGGAGTGTAGATAGTTTGTGTCTATCTCCCAGAGGGCTCAAGTGTATCTGTAATTAAGGGGCAGGGTGTCAGTGGGTATTTGACTGATGGACCTACTTCAATCTCTGGTCTGTCTCATTACATCTTCTTCTAAGTCTGTTTCCACTCACAGCCCTTCAAGCATATTTGCCTCCTAGTTTGTCTTGATATCTTCACCTTTCCTGGCCCACCCATCCCAACTGTATGACAGCCTTCTCTCTCCCTTACCTCTTCCTTCCATCCCTTCCAGATCTTTCTTGCTGCCAGTACCCATCTCTCAAGCTCTGTCATCTTTCCTATACAGGGTAGCAGACGAGGGGCCTGTGCAATCTCCATCTCCCCATGAGCATCAGATGCTGTCACCCTTATCTCCACTGAGTCCTGAGCCCCCTGGTGCTCCAGTTCCTCAGCCTCTGCAGCCTGGGAGCCTTCGTTCACCTCCTGATAGTGAGGCTTACTATGGAGAGACTGACAGTGATGCTGATGGCCCTGCTACCCAGGAGAAGCCCCGCCGACCTCGCCGCCGAGGCCCCGCAAGGCCTACCCCTCCGGGTGCCCCACCTGATGAGGTCTACCTGTCTGACAGCCCTGCAGAGCCGGCACCTACTATCCCTGGCCCTCCTAGCCAGGGTGACAGCCGTGTGAGCTCCCCATCTTGGGAGGATGGGGCAGCCCTTCAGCCACCCCCAGCTGAGGCTCTGCTGTTACCCCATGGTCCCCTCCGGCCTGGTCCTCATCTCATCCCTATGGTGGGGCCTGTTCCCCACCCAGTGGCAGAAGATCTTACTACCACCTACACCCAGAAGGCCAAGCAAGCCAGTGAGTGCCTGAACCCCTTTTCCCCAGCCAGGATCCTTCAATCTGAGCCTTAAATCCACTCTTCTATAGCCATACATTCTCCCTACCTTATGCCCCTTGGATACAGTCTTAGGGACAAGAGGAGAAGAGTAATGAGTAGAAGGGGAGCATAACTATTCTCATGGCCCCCATTATTTTTGCTGTTTGAACCAATGTGACAAAAGGGTAAGGTGATTCCGTTCAACCCAGGAACAGGGTAAGTAGGGAAGTTGGAAAGGGACATGAATAGATGAAGGGTTTGGTCGTGGTGATCATTGTTATTGTGTGGCATGACGGGGTAAAGGCAGAGTACAGACACAGGACAGGGGAGTATTTAAAAGCAGGTTGAAGGCTGGGTGAGGTGGCTCACACCTGTAATCCCAGCACTTTGGGAGGCTGAGGTGGGAGGATTGCTTGAACTCGGGAGTTTGAGACCAGCCAGTACAACATGGTGAGACCTTATCTCCACTGAAAATTTAAAAATTAGACAGGCATGGTGGCACATGCCTATGGTCCCAGCTACTCAGGAGGCTGAGGCAAGAGGATCACTTGAGCCTTGGAGGTTGAGGCTGCAGAAAGTCATGTTTGCACTACTGCACTTCCGTGTGAGCACCAGAGAAAGACCCTGTCTCAAAAATAAATAAAAGTGGATCAAAGCTACAGGGGATCTTTATAGTGTTAATTGAAGACACCTTTGACATTTGCAAGTTCAGTTAGGATTCCTGGGGACCGAGAGGCTATGGGATGATCATGAGATCCTGAGGAAGTAGGAGAGGGAGGGAGCTTTGGCTTTGGCACCTTATCTCAGGCAAGAATGTTGGCCTGGACAGAAAAAGCCCATTCCACTTATCTCAGGCTCTTTGCTATTTTTGATGTGAGCTACAGAACAAGGTCTAAGGATAAACTTTCTCCCTGCTCTATGCCTCTTGTGCCTTTCCCACAGAGACCATTCTTGTCACCTCTGAAATCTCAGGATTCCCTCACTAGTTGTATTTCTTTCTTCTCCTCTACCATTTTGATTCCTGATCCATAGAGCTTTGTGTCTCTCCGTTTGGAATGGAGGCTAAGGACATGAGAGTTGAGTCTGACATCCCTGATTGTCCAATATCCCAGGAATTCCAGATGTATGCCTAGGATCCCATGCTTTCCTCAGTTCTCTACTTACCTCTCTCTCCCTTCTTATCATGCTGGGTGAGACTGTAGTTACTGGCTCAGAGATATTTTTAGTCAAGCAGACCTCATTGTCTACTGGGGGAGGGTTGGGGGAAGGAGAGACAGGTGCCCATGTCCATCACACCAGCACTTGTGGGGCAGCCCAGAGAAGGGAGAGGGCCAGTCTCCAAAAATAGCACAGTGAGCTCATTCAGCTGCCAGCTCAGGGGACAAGACAAAGGGGCTTTAAAAGGCGTGGGGGGTGGCTCAAGCTGGTCCTGCTCCAGCCAACACTGCCTTTCTCAGCATGGAGACCTTTGAGCCCATCAGCCAAGAGCCCCTCAGCCAAGTCATCTACGACAAAGCCCCAGACCCAGTTCCTGAGCTCCAAGACTCATTCTATGCAGGTACTACCCTTTCATATCTATGAGAGTCTGTGATCTAGAATGGAGGGGAAGATGTCAACAGTTTAGGAAGGGCAGTCTTTGGGAAATATCTTACTATCCTGGTCCTTCCTTTTTGCTGTCCTCTTCCTCCTTTTCTCAGGAGAGTTTCACTGCCCCTTTCTCATTAATCCTATGACCACATGTCAAAGGGGTTTGTGACCACAGAGCTGTAGAAAACTCATAGGAACAGAGCGTGTGTGAGTACATTATGAATACATGAGGGCATGTATGTGAGTCCATGGGAGAAGATATGTGTGAACAAGAAAGTGTCCATATATATTAAGAAAGTATAGCGTCAAGAAGGCTTTAATAGTAACAGTTACAGTGGGCCTTCACATTGTGTTAAGTGCTAAATTTACTATAGTATCTCAGTTAATCCTCATAGCAATCTGGTGAGGTAGCCGTTGTTTGCCCTCATTTACAGAGGAGGAAACTGAACTTTAATGAGATGAGGTCACTCTCCCAAGAACCAAAAACCTGAACTGAACTCTGACTCCAGGGCCTGTTGTCTCATCCACAGCAGTACTTTGTGGTATAAATGCTGTGATGAGAGGAATGACAAAAATGAAAAAATTCCATCTACTTTCCACTCAAGGTACCAAGCTAATTACAAAGGAGCATGGTACCTTGAGTGAAAAGTAGATGGAATTTCAAGAATTCTTCAGGAGGAACTGGGGACCATGGACCAGAGAGTATCCATGTGCAAGGCGGGGTCCTAGCAGCAGGGTTACCTCTCCCATTTCTTGGCCCCACCTACCCAGGCCCACATGGCATGGAAAGCCCTGCCCTGGTTCCCTTTAGCACATAGTCCTTGTGTGCCTGGCTGGCAGTGGCTGACTGAGCTCTCTACCTAGAAGCAGCTCTGACACCCAAAGAAGCCCACCCCACTATGATCCCCGGCTTAGGGGAAATAAGATATTTAGCTGGTGACCTTGAGGTATCCTAAAGATTTGGAGGGTTGCCTTGGAGAACAGCACTCTTAACTTTTCCTGCATCTTGGATCAAGACTACTCCTGGTTGTGAGTAGCAGGGGTGTGATGCCTAGAGGACTGCCCTGGGAGTTGGAAGGCTGAGATAAACCTTAAAATTCTGTCTAGACTGTTAGTAACGGGGTCTCTGCAGGGAGAGCTCTGGGAAGAAGGGACACCTAGAGCATGTAGGTATGTGAATGTATTTGAATGATGGTGTTTTTATGTGGGCATATGTATGTTTACATATGTAAACTTACATTCTGTAAGTAAACAGAAGTGTATGTAAGCTGGGGTATACGTGAATGAGAGAGAAAAGTATATAGGAGAAAGTACGCCTAGAGGTGGCTTTCACTAGATGGATATTCTTGTTGAAGTGCTGTGTGGTGGGAGTTATTTCTGTGAATGTCTATGATGTGGACTGCATGAAGGGGGTGGAATTGTGAATGAAGATCCTCATTGCTAAGGGTTCTTTGTGTCCATATCACAGGGGTAAGGGATAGCAGAGAGTCCTAAGCTTTGTGAGAAGCCGCCTAACGTGGTCCCTATGGTGGGTGAAGTGTTCCTTCTCATCTTTGCTCTCCCTGGGAACTGCTTATCTCCCTGTCTGCCATGGAGAGTGACACATCCTTCCCCTCCACCCCCCTTGCCAGTCAGGAATGAGAGGCAGGTGAGGAATGTGTGTGGGGTGGATAAGAGCGCATCTCTTGGAAGATAGGAACAGAATAGCAGTAAGACTATTCTGCTAATCTTACTAGCAGGATGGAAGGGCTGTGGTCAGAGCAGTGTCAGGGCAGCCAACTGGACTCTGCCTTATCTTTAATTGTCCTTGGTTTCACCTTTCACCCTCCACCCTGCCCTTAAGTCAGAGGACTTTGCCACAGAGGGTACTGTGGGTTGAGCCAGTGAAAGAGGGAGCTTTCTGGGGCTGGGGGTGAAAGCCTTGAGGAACAGGATTAGAAGAGGCTGGGAAGCCCCACTGACCATTTTACCTCTTGGCCTTCCCAGAACTGCAACGTGCAGAGAGCCTTCAAGAGAAGAGCATAAAGGAGGCCAAGACCAAATGCCGGACAATTGCATCCCTGCTCACTGCAGCCCCCAACCCCCACTCCAAAGGGGTGCTTATGTTTAAGAAACGACGGCAGAGAGCCAAGAAGTACACCCTGGTGAGCTTTGGGGCTGCTGCTGGGACAGGCGCTGAGGAGGAGGAGGACGGCATTCCCCCTACGAGTGAGTCCGAGCTGGACGAAGAAGCCTTCTCTGACGCCCGCAGCCTCACCAATCAATCTGACTGGGACAGTCCCTATCTGGACATGGAGCTTGCCAGGGCAGGCTCAAGAGCAGCAGAGGGCCAGGGCTCTGGGCTGGGAGGGCAGCTGAGTGAGGTCTCTGGGCGAGGGGTGCAGCTCTTTGAACAGCAGCGCCAGCGTGCAGACTCCAGCACCCAGGAACTGGCAAAGGCCGAACCAGGAGCCATGCTCAACGGGGAGGGCTTGCAGTCACCACCTCGGGCCCAGAGTGCTCCCCCGGAGGCGGCTGTGCTCCCACCCAGCCCCTTGCCGGCCCCTGTAGCCAGCCCCAGTCCCTTCCAACCAGGTGGGGCCCCGTCCCCAACTCCAAGCATCTTTAACCGGTCAGCCAGGCCCTTTACCCCGGGTCTACAAGGCCAGCGGACAACTACCACCTCAGTTATTTTCCGGCCCCTAGCCCCCAAGAGAGCTAACGACAGCCTGAGGGGCCTCAGTCCCGCCCCACCCCACTTCTTGTCTTCTCCGCAGGGGCCCACCCCTCTGCCCAGCTTCACTTCAGGGGTTGCCAGCCACGTGCCAGCCTCTGGTTCCCCCAGCACCCCACGCTCCTCCGGCCCTGTGACAGCCACCAGTTCCCTGTACATCCCAGCCCCCAGTCGGCCTGTTACCCCAGGCGGAGCCCTAGAGCCTCCCGCTTCTCCTAGTTCAGCTGCCATGACCTCCACCGCTTCTATCTTCCTATCTGCGCCTCTGAGACCCTTTGGGCACTCAGAGGCGGCCGCCCCAGGCCCAGCGGCCTCTGAGCCCCCTAGCGCTCGGGAGCAGCGCATCTCTGTGCCAGCTGCACGCACGGGTATCCTGCAGGAGGCCAGGCGCCGAGGGACGCGGAAGCAGATGTTCCGGCCTGGAAAGGAGGAGACGAAGAACTCGCCCAACCCCGAGCTACTATCGCTGGTGCAGAACCTGGATGAAAAGCCCCGGGCCGGAGGTGCTGAATCTGGTCCTGAGGAGGACGCACTGAGCCTCGGGGCGGAAGCCTGCAACTTCCTGCAGCCAGTAGGGACCAGGAGTTACAAGACCCTGCCTCACGTGACACCTAAGACCCCGCCTCCAATGGCTCCCAAGACCCCGCCCCCTATGACTCCTAAGACTCCACCCCCAGTGGCTCCTAAACCTCCGTCTCGAGGGCTCCTTGATGGGCTCGTGAATGGGGCAGCCCCTTCGGCTGGAATCCCTGAGCCACCAAGGATGCAGGGCAGGGGTGGGGAGCTGTTTGCCAAGCGGCAGAGCCGTGCGGACAGGTATGTGGTGGAAGGTACACCTGGTCCTGGTGTTGGCCGTCGGCCTAGAAGTCCTTCTCCTACCCCATCTTTGCCCCCTTCTTGGAAATATTCACCCAACATCCGTGCCCCACCTCCTATTGCTTACAACCCACTGCTCTCTCCCTTTTTCCCCCAGGCGGCCCGAACTCTCCCTAAGGCCCAATCCCAGGGGCCTCGGGCAACACCCAAGCAGGGCATTAAGGCTTTAGATTTTATGCGGCATCAGCCCTATCAACTTAAAACTGCCATGTTCTGTTTTGATGAGGTTCCCCCGACTCCTGGACCCACTGCCTCAGGGTCCCCCAAAACTGCCCGAGTCCAGGAGATTCGCCGGTTTTCCACTCCGGTGCCCCAGCCCACTGCAGAGCCCCTCGCTCCCACCGTGCTTGCCCCACGGGCAGCCACTACACTGGATGAGCCCATCTGGAGAACAGAGCTGGCCTCAGCCCCTGTTCCTAGCCCAGCCCCTCCTCCAGAGTCTTCCAGGGGCCTTGGGGCTTCTCCTAGCTCCTGTGGTTTCCAGGTAGCCAGGCCCCGATTCTCAGCCACCAGAACAGGATTGCAGGCTCATGTGTGGAAGCCTGGGGCAGGGCACCAGTGAGCAGGCACAGGTCCCAGGACCAAGGAGAGGTAGAACATCCAGTTCCTAAAGTTGCTTCTCCTACCCTATCCCACTCCCTGTCTCTGGCATCTAGAAGCTAAATTGCCTCCTGCAAGAGATAGTTTTCAAGTCCTGCAAAAGAGTTTTTGAGTTCATGTCCCATCCCTCACCTTCCTCCTCACTCCCTACCTCCTTGCCGCTTTCCAACCATGTCTGCTTTGATACCTTTGCCTCTCTTTGTCTCTGCATTTTCTTGTCTGGATCTCTGTCTTTATTTTCAGGTTTCTCCACCCATATTCCTCCACAGGTCTCTCTTCCTTGACATTTGAGCTTTTCTCTGTGGGCCTCATTTTAATGTTCAGTGAGAAGCACACAGCAGAAGTGACCACTGAGATCTCAGGCAGGAAGCTTACCACAAGGCAGACAGCAAAGGGAGTGAATTGACCCCTGTTTGCATTAAGCCACCTCCACCCCCCACTCTGCTTTCCCAAGATTGCCTGGCATATATCTAGACCTGTATGTGTGTGTATGTGTATGTGCAAGTGTGTGTTTGTGCACAGATGTGCTCTTTCATCTGAGGCATGAGTAAGTAAGAGGAGAGGTCAAAATAAAGACCCAATCTGAGTCTTATTGTTGTACTAATAGAAGGGTCAGATAGCCCCACATGAAGTTGAGCGGGAGAAAGAGATTCACTAGAGAATAACTCCTTACAGACCAATGTCTGTAGCAAGTGTACAGCATCTTGTGAAAGTTACGGAGCATGAAAAGACTGAAGGGCCAGGACAGTTTGCATGGGCTGAGTTATACCAGCTAGACCAGGAATAGAACAAATAACTCTATTCCTGTTTCAGAAAGTTAGCAACATGAGAGGCCAGTGCTGAGCAACCCAGTACCCAGGAAATGAAAAAATGAAAGAAAATTTCCTCTGAGAATGAACAGATCATTGGCTTCATTGCCTCATGAGCTTGAGAGAAAGGAGAAGAGAGCTGGAGTGTGGAGAGTGAGGCGGAAACCAGAAGAATGGCAGAAATGAGTGTAAGTGATTGAGTCCACAGACAGAAGTATGGTAAGGGACAATGCCATATTGGCAGAAAGTAAAGTTGGGTAACAAGAAACCAACCTTGTGTGAGAGAAGGATTGGGAAACAATTTGAGGGAGAAGAATGTATTTGTTGGAGTGGAAGGGGATGGTGGTGGAAGGGAGGTGTGAGGGTGTGTGCTGAGTGTTGAAAGAACAGTTGGTGTCTGTGTGACCTTCCTTGAGTCTGTTCTTCAGTGTGTCTTCTGCAGCTTGCCATGACTACCTAGGAAAGAGCAGGGAAATACCCAGAGCCAAAATCTCTTTTCAGTCCCACCCCATCCCTCAAAACCCCAGCTCTTGCTTCTTTTCAGCTTCAGGTCCTAATCTCTGATCTTAGAGGAATACAGACTCCCTTCTCACCAAGACCACCACCAGCCATGTTGGTTTAATCTGGAAAGTGCTAATTTCCTTTGCTTGTTGGGTGTGAGTCACAATACTTTGGTTTGTGCACAAGAATAAATTTATGTCCCATACCTTCTGTTGCTGTTATCTTCTAGTTTTATATCTAAATCCTGATCTCTCCTTGATCTTTAACCCGTTTCCCTGATCTGATTTCTAATCTGTCTTTATTCCTGCCCTCCCATTTTTCACCCTTTTGCTCTTTGTTTCCAGGTCTTTGGCTCTTTCCTACCAATAATCTCCTGTTCTGACTTAGCCACCTTCATCACTCTTGTTTCCCTTTCCCCACAGTCTTCATCCAAGTTCTTCCCTTGACTCATACTTTCTTTTTTTTTTTTTTTTTTTTGAGATGGAATCTCGCTGTCTCGCCAGGCTGGAGTGCAGTGGCGCAATCCCAACTCACTGCCACCTCCACCTCCCAGGTTCAAGCGATTCTCCTGCCTCAGTCTCCCAAGTAGCTGGGACTACAGATGTGTGCCACCATGCCCAGCTAATTTTTTTTTTTTTTTTTTTAGTAGAGACAGGGTTTCACAATGTTGGCCAGGATGGTCTCCATCTCTTGACCTCGTGATCCACCCACCTCAGCCTCCCAAAGTGCTGGGATTACAGGCAGGAGCCACCATGCCCGGCCCCTTGCCTCACGCTTTCTAGGCAAGGACTCTGTTCACAGAACTGAAGAGAACTTGGAAAGGCCCTCTGAGCTCTTTGCCATCAACATTTCCTAGCTCCCTGGAGGAACCAATCATATTAAACAGTCTCTGGGAATTAAGTGAGGAGAAAGCAACAGCTGGAGGGGAAGATGGGATGGGAGAGGGAAGAAAGAAAGGTGAATTGAGACTACTAAAGAAGGGAGGGCATTGGACGTAGGTGAGAATTAAAGCCTTGGGAGAAGGAAAGTGCCATTGCTCCCATTCTGCCAGCAGAGGGCATGTTTGTGCCAATAACCACACCCCGGCCACAGACCTCCCAAGTGAACTCTCAGAATTCCAAAGGTCTCAGAGACCATAGACTAAAAAACCTGTCTTCGCCCAGTCAGTTGTTTTAAATATTCAATCGAAGGAGATCAAACTTTCAGTTTATTTTTGCTTTAGAGGGTGAGGGGGGCCGGGCACTGTGGCTCAGGCTTGTAATCCCAGAATTTTGGGAGGCCAAGGTGGGCGGATCACAAGGTCAAGAGATTGAGACCATCTCTAATAAAAATAGAAAAATTAGCTGGGCATGGTGGTGCATACCTGTAGTCCCAGATACTCAGGAGGCTGAGGCACAAGAATCACTTGAACCCGGGAGGCAGAGGTTGCAGTGAGCCAAGACTGTGCCACTGCACTGCAGCCTGGCAACAGAGAAAAAAAAAAAAAAAAAAAAAAAAGCTGAGTGTGGTAGTGATGATGAAGTCACCTTTTGTTATTTACATATTTTCTTCTTCTTTTTTTTTTTGAGATAGAGTCTCACTCTGTGGCTCAGGCCAGAGTGCAGTGGTATAATCTTGGCTCATTGCAACCTCCACCTCCCAGGCTCAAGCAATTCTCCTGCCTCAGCCTCCTAAGTAGCTGGGATTACAGGCGTGTGCCACCATACCTGGCTAATTTTTGTATTTTGTATTTTGTATTTTTTTTAAAGGCAGGGTTTCACCATGTTGGTCAAGCTGGTCTTGAACTCCTGACCTCAGGTGATCTGCACGCCTTGGCCTCCAGAGTCCTTGGATTACAGGCATGAGCCACTACGCCCGGCCAATTTTTGTATTTTTAGTAGAAACGGGGTTTCACCATGTTGGCCAGGCTGGTCTTGAACTCCTGACCTCAAGTGATCTACCTGCCTCAGCCTCCCAAAGTGCTGGGATTAAAGATGTGAGCCACCACGCCTGGCATATTTTTTTCTTCTAATTGCTTCCTTGGGTTGGGAGGAGATGGAGGGACAAAAGATGAGGGACCTGGAGGTATAACTGGCCTGGGCAGAAGCCAACTGGGAGAGGATACCTTTTGGCACATAGCCTGAACCCGAAAAGTATAAGCTGGAGAAAGGACATGGTCAGGAAGAGTAAAGAGCTCAGAAAGGGGCCAGGCACGATGGCTCATGCCTGTAATCTCAGCACTTTGGGAGGCTGAGGTGGGCAGATCACGAGATCAGGAGTTTGAGACTAGCCTGACCAACATGGTGAAACCCTGTCTCTACTAAAAATACAAAAATTAGCCGAGTGTGGTGGTGCATGCCTGTAATCCCAGCTACTCAGGAGGCTGAGACAGGAGAATTGCTTTAACCTGGGAGGCAGAGGTTTCAGTGAGCCAAGATCATGCCATTGCACTCCAGCCTGGGGGACAGAGTGAGACTCTGTATCCAAAAAAAAATCTGCACAAGGGTTTTAATGAAATAGCACATTTGGGGCCAGGCACAGTGGCTGATGCCTGTAATCCCAGCACTTTGGGAGGCCAAGGTAGGCAGATCACCTGAGGTCAAGGGTTTAAGACCAGTCTGACCAATATAGTGAAACCCTGTCTCTACTAAAATTACAAAAAAAAAAAAAATTTGCCAGGCGTGGTGGTGTGTGCCTGTAGTCCCAGCTACCTGGGAGGCTGAGACAGGAGAGCTGCTTGAACCTGGGAGGCGGAGGTTGCAGTGAGCCAAGATCATGCCACTGTGCTCCAGCCTAGGTGACAGAGCAAGAGTCCATCTCAAAAAAAATAATAATAATAATAAAGCCTGGGCGCAGTGGATCACACCTATAATCCTAGCACTTTGGGAGGCCGAGGCAGGTGGATCATGAGGTCAGGAGTTCAAGACCAGCCTGGCCAACATGGTGAAACCCAATCTCTACTAAAAATACCGAAGAAAAAAAAAATAATTAGCCAGGTGTGATGGTGGGCACCTGTAATCCCAGCTGGGAGGCTGAGGCAGGGAATTGCTTGAACCTGGGAGGTGGAGGTTGCAGTGAGCTGAGATCGTGTCACTCTACTCTAGCCTGGGTGACAGAGCGAGACTCCGACTCAAAAACAAAAAAAGAGAGAGCTCAGAAAGGGACAAAGGAAGCTACAAAAGCCATTTCCTGGTGTGTACCTGTAGTCCCAGCTACTCAGAGGCTGAGGTAGGAGGATCACTTGTGCCCAGAAGTTCGAGTCCAGCCTGGGCAACATAGTGAGACCCCCATCTCTTAAAGAAATAATTAAAAAAAAAAAAAGCGGGCCGGGCTTGGTGGCTCACGCCTGTAATCCCAACACTTTGGGAGGCAAGGCAGGTGGATCACTGAGGTCAGAAGTTGGAGACGAGCCCTGGCCAACATGGAGAAACCTCATCTCTAGTAAAAATACAAAATTAGCTGGGCGTGGTGGTGCATGCCTGTAATCCCAGCTACTCAGGAGGCTGAGACAGGAGAATTGCTTGAACCCGGGAGGCAGAGGTTGTGGTGAGCCGAGATAGCGCCATTGCATTCCAGCCTGAGACCTAGCAAGACTAGGTCTCAAAAAAAACAAACAAACAAAAGCTGGCTAGGCACGGTGGCTCATGCCTGTAATCCTAGCACTTTGGGAGGTTGAGACGGGAGGCTTGCTTGAGCCCAGGAGTTTGAAATCAGCCTGAGCAACACAGCCAAACCCTGTCTCTAAAAGATATTAAAATTAGCTGAGACTAATTTTAGTAGTGGTGGCATTTGCCAGTATTTCTGGCTACCTGGGAGGGTGAGGTCAGAGGATTACCTGAGCCTGGGGAGGCTGAGGTTGCAGTGAGTTGAAATTGTGCCACTGTACTTCAGCACAGGCAACAGAGTGAGACCATGTCTCAAATAAATAATAAATAAATAAATAGGCCAAGTGTGGTGGCTCACGCCTGTAATCCTAGCACTTTGGGTGGCCAAAGTGGGTGGATCACCTGAGGTCAGGAGTTCAAGACCAGCCTGACCATCATGGTGAAACCTCATCTTTTAATAAATAAACAAATGAATAAAGCCACTTCCTAAGGTAGCAGCAACAAGGTGGTGATGGCTGCAGCAGAGTTGCTGTAGCAGCTGGTTCCAGAATCTAAGGAGAAGGTGGAGGAAGATCATGCAGCTACTGAGGAAGAGGCTGGGCAAATAATAGGCTTTCCCCAAGGGGACTCTCAAGCTTGTACCCCTGTCCAGAGACTCTGCTGGAACAGTACGAATGGCACAGTCCAAATCCTATGTGGTATGTACTCCCTTTGAAGGAAATCTCAAGTAGAAACCTCAGAGAACAAGGCCCTGGCAGGTCAGAGGCCTACATGTGCTTCTCACGGAGATACTAATGTCTATCCTGCACAGCAGGTTGAACTGAGCATCTCAATAGCAAATGGAGGTTTAAAGGCAGATCCTGGCTACCCGGGAGGCGGAGATTGCAGTGGAGATGGTGCCATTGCACTCTAGCCCAGGCAACAAAAAAAGGCAGATCCAAGTGTTTGTCTTTTCTTAAAACTGCCAGAGTTCAAGAGGAAAGAAGAGAGAGTGAAGCAGATAGAATAATTGTCAAGTCTTCCCCACATCATCCCTGCCTAGGAGGTACTGGGTTTGGTTAATTTGGTCCCTTAACCTGCCAAAATCTAGCCCCCGCAGAGAAAAGACCAACCTATTCAGGAAGTTTAAAAGAGCAGTTCCATTGTGAAGACTTCCCTTCTTGTCCCTAAACATAGTACTTTAAGCCCTCCCTGCCCCAAATACACCCACAGGTCCTTCCACTGTGCCCTGGATTGGCTCTGTATGGCCCTCAGGGCATGTTCCCCAGGCTCGCTCTCTCTGACAGGATTCCTATCCGATACTTGTTGTCTACTTCCTGTCTCCCTCTTATTCTCCTAAGTGCTTCTTTGGATCTCAGGCTCTAGGTGCAATGTGAAGGGGAGTCCCTGGGCAGAGTGATCCCTGGCTCAGAAAGCTCAGTGGGAGAATCCCAAAGGCCTTCTCCCTCCTTCCTGAGCCCCTGGGCAAGGAGGCAGGGATCTTGGTTCCAGGGTCTCAGTACCCCCTGTGCCATTTGAGCTGCTTGCGCTCATCATCTCTATTAATAACCAACCTCCCTCCCCCACTGCCAGTGCTGCCCCCACGCCTGCCCAGCTCATGTTCTCCGGTCACAGCAGCTCAGTCCT